CTCTTCGCCTCCCTCCAGATTCCACCTCCCGATGCCATTGCAACCCCCACGGCAGCATCAGCCAGCGGTGCGATGCCAGTGGGCGATGCCAGTGCAAGGTAGGTAGGGTGGGGGGAGGGCACGGGAGGGCTAGCCCGCTCTCCCTCCCGCCCAGCCCCCCTGACCCGCCCCCCCCCCCCCGGCCCCATACCGGCTCTCCAGCCATGCTCCAGCCGATCTTCCCTTGCACCCTGCCTCTCTGCCCAGAGCCAGGGGTGTGTGCGCGTGTGTGTGCGTGTGTCTTCCTGCTGTCCAGCAGCCCTTTTGCCCCCTTCCAGGATCACGCCGAGGGCATCTCCTGTGACAGCTGCCGCCCTCACCACTTCCACCTGAGCGCGGAGAACCCCCTGGGCTGCCTGTCCTGTTTCTGCATGGGGGTGACCCAGCAATGCACAAGCTCATCCTACTACCGGGACGTGGTAAGTGGTCACGGGGGGGCTTCCCTCCTGCTGGTGGGCGTGGTGGCGGCGGCGGGGCTGGTGGTAGTCAGAGGGCTTTTCCTCAGCCGATTCGGCCATCCCTTCCCCCCGCCGCAGGTCAGCACCTCCTTCCTTCCCGGAGATTTCCAGGGCTTTGCGCTGGTCAACCGCCAGCGCAGCGTCCGCCTCCTGACCGGCTTCACGGTGGAGATGTCCCCCGAGGGCCTTCTGCTCTCCTACGACCAATTTGGGGAGCTGAGCCAGGAGTCTAATTTCTGGCAGCTGCCGGACGCCTACCTGGGAGACAAGGTGAGTCCAGGTGGGAGGGCGGGGCTAACCCGGCACCTTATACGGGGCATTTGTAGGAGCTTTGGGGGTGGCGGGGTGGGGGAAACCCTCCCGCCTGGCCAGAATGGAGGGGGGTTGTGCATAGCGAGGGTGCCCCGCAGAGGGGTTCTGACCCAACCTGGGTCCAAGAGAGCAAACACAAGACAAAACCAGCAGCCCCCACCTTTTAAGGTTTCATCCGCGAATTCTGTTCCTTCATAGATAAAAGGCTGCTTCCAACTACTTAGCTCCGACAAGAAAGAGCGTTGCCGAGTTGTTTGTCAAGGCTGCCAAAAAACCCACAGATGAGAAATAGTTTGCAAGAGTTTTCAAATACTAACTATAATGTCCACGAGGCCGAGCTTCAGAGCGTCTTTGCCTTCTGCAAAGAATGCTTCTTCAAACGTGGCTTTTAATCCTCTTTTATCCCCGGGAGTAAGGCTGCAAGGTCATGGCTGCAAGGGGCCATGACCTTGCAGCCTTACTCCCGAGTCGCCCGTGCTGCTGTAATTCTTCTTTCCTCCGAGTAATCCTTTGTGCACGCGCACTTGGCACAGGCTCCTCGGGAAGCTCCTCATTGCTGCTGCCAGCCTCCACAATCTCTGAAGGCAGCAGTCCACTCCCTGATGGTCCTGGCCGTTCATCTGAGTCCCCCACCCCCGCTCTCCTCCGCCGTCCGCACCTCCTGCCGGCTAACCACAACAAGAGGAGGCTGGCTCAGGTGTGGGTTTCCGATCCGTGGAAAAAGGGAGGGAAGCTCAGGAAATCTCTTTGAGTTTTCGTCCAGGGAATGCCGGCTGTTTACATTCCTCTACCAAGTCATGCGCCTGGTTGTCTGAACTGAGAGGAGAGGCGAATGGGACCCGGTGGTCCTCCCCCTCAACTGACAGCTTCAGCCCTCCTCCCTCCAACCAACGTACCTCTATCTATCTAAAATACCTTTATCTCTCGATATAAAAGCGAAATGCCCCACACGCATCATCACAAAATGTCCAGAACCGTAAAGCCTACAAACTTGACATTTGGCACCTATGTTCCTCTTGGCTTCTAAGTGCTCACTACGGAAGGATTTTTCCAAATGAGAAATCAGAGCTATTAGTATTTCCTGTATTATTATTATTAACACGCTCTGATGCTAAGGATTTCTACTCCCCCTCCCCACCTGAAAAGAAATCTCTTCCAAATGCAAAACACAAGTACAGGATTTCAGTCTCACAGCACCAAGCAGCTTTAGCACAGAACAGTTGAGCTAAGCCACGCCCAGGCTCCTTGCTGTCTCCTTCTTGCTCACACCGCAAACACTCTTTCAGTTTCCAAACAGCCCTCAACTCCCTTCACACACTGACAGGATGCTAACCAGATGAATACCGATGGATGCTGGTAGGCAGAGGCAGAATTCCCCCCCCCCGCCTTATTTTCTTCCTCAAAAACTAAGCCTGACCACGTAGTTTCGTAGTGAAGCAAGGGGATCGAGCTTGTTGTGTGTGTGCATGTGTGTGTGGATGGATAGATAGATAGATAGATAGATAGATAGATAGATAGATAGATAGAT